CCCCAAAACCCCAAAACCCCAAAACCCCAAAACCCCAAAGTTTAATAATTATTGAATGGACTTTTTAGATAGAGTAAATATGGTGGTAAAGGACTGGAACATAGATCCTCTTCCCTCTAAAGACAAAGAGGATGATTCAATGACGTTCCACCAGGTAGGGACGATTGTAGCATAGAATTAGACAACCTTATTTATTACAGAATGTGCTTGCTAACTTATATATAGAGACTTAGTAAAGAGGAAGAAGATACCAAAAAGACGTACCTAAAAAGGGGCTTCAATGCTACATATATTGAGACAGAAGATATTCATCTCCAAAGAAGACTTGAAGAAGGATATCTCCAGAAAGGGTACAGCATATAACTCATCAATAGGATTCGGGAATGGGCAAATGCAAGATATGAATCTAGAAACAAAAGAATACCCTTTATCCCTCCCATTATCAAAGTTAGTTATATAAAATCAATTTAGGACACAGTAAAGCAGAAAATAGATAAAACTCTTAAGCGAATTCATGAAGAGGAGCTACAAAATAGGAAATAGCAGAAGGATTATACAATCCACTAAAAAGAAGAAGAGTAAAAAGAAATAATTTCAATCATGTCTTATCGGTTCCTAAACTTAATTTTAGGAATAAGAAAACATGTAGGCAAATTTAGTCATATTATAGGAAATAAGGAAGACATTAAGATTACTATTAACTCTCCAAAGGAAAAGTTCACCATTCCAAATACTTTCAGATTGGGTAATCTTCCTCTTTTGAGTACTAATGATCGCCAAGAAGTCGGACTAAAAATCTCCAGACAATCTAAATAAGCAAGCTAGTAATACGATGAAAACACCACATGAACACCAAAAGCTTAAATTTGAGGATAAAATCAAAGATTTTAAATATAAACTTTCTAGGAAAATATCAATAAAAACTGAAGATATTCTGAGCCCTGGTGTGTTTCCTCCCAAATTTCAGACTAAATATAAGCAGCCTAAGCTGACAACTAGGAAATCAATAGTTAAAAAGTTTACCTTGAAGAATCTGAATGATCAAAAGCCTAAAATTTCGACTAAATAATATTCAAATAAAAAATAAATTATCTGGCTATAATACGATACAAGTTGCTAAAGGGATTGATTCTGATAAGTTATCATCTACAACTTCGAAAAATCATCCTGAGCCTGATAGTCCTCAGGTTACTGTTTTTAACACGATGCAAGAGCCAGTCACCTGAAGACTTCCAAGTCTAAGAGGGTCTAAGTGTAAAGTTATACTTATGTTTTTAGTGAATAAGAAAGAGTGTATCTCTAACGCGAATTCATCAGTGAATCGTAAAAGCTTGAATCGTCAAAAGTCTAAATATTTAATGTCAAAATATCTCCCAGAGAATAATAAGACGAGAAGGATGTCAATATTCATGCAACACCTTGAACATTCTAAAAGGAAGTTGATGATATCAGGATTAAAGCCGTATGTGAGTTTCTTATTGGATATAGAGAACCTGAAGAAGAGAAAGACAAGACAGCCCTCACTACAAGAAGTGTCCTTGATATGCAACCATCTAGATCAAGTCCGATACCTACAATTTCTCCTGTCAAATTCCGGAGAAGAATGGGAGTTGATATGTCAGAGTGCAATGAAGGTCCAGGAAAAATGGACGAAGAGAACACAAATGAAATTGACAGCAAACTTAAGAGGCAAGATACAAAATGATTCAAAAATCAGCTTCAGAGATTGGCATCCAAACCAACTATGACCCATAATAACAATTTACATCCAAATTATCATCCTGGCATAGCTGAAGAATCTAGTTCAAAATCCAGCTCACAATCTAGCAGAAAGTCATCATTTTTTTCCATCTATAGTACAGACAATGTACCTGAAAATCCGAGTTATATAGATATGATTAAAAGAATGTCTAGTAAAATTAGTGAGGGTAAATATTTCTTAGTTAATATTCCTATAGGCTCCGACACTTCCTCAGTCTCAAGTTCCTCGAAAAGTAAGTGTACCAGCATAATAAGCTTTAGAAAATTCTACAAAACCTTCAAAGAAACATAATTTAGACACTATAATTGAGCAATGAGAGAACTTGTTGCAGTCTGATCTTGAGAATTACACTGAAATTGATAACATCAAGAAGTATATGAATTTAGTCAACAAGTACTTCAAGAATAAGGTAGATTATATGAACTACTTTAACAATGAAACCATCGATTAGTATAATAAACACTAATTTCAACATTCTTAAGCTATTTTGGGGTTTTGGGGTTTTGGGGTTTTGGGGTTTTGGGG